ATTATTGCCAGACACCAATAGAAGAAAAAAAGGATGAAATTACTACTTTGAAAAGTTGCCATTGAGAATCACATATATACAAGTTCAAAATTGGGACTTGCCTCTAAAAATAATCTAAGTTCAATAAGGTTACAGATCAACTCTTTCTGCCTTTAATGTAAGTGTAAGTGAAAAAGTGTTCTAGAATCTGCCTGTATGTTATTACAGTGGTTTCATGTGCTTTTACATATGTTCACTAAATCTAAACCTTAATATATCAGAGAGACATAACTGCCTTTACAGCATTTTAGATCCATCGAGCAATACATTATCTCCAGGAATACATCACATGATATTCCTCCATCTGTGAATAATAATATAAACCCTATTAAAATGGATTTGGAGAAAATATTCCCCACACACTAACATAAGGCCAAATGAATAACACTTTTAAATGGAATTGCATTAAATAAAAAGCAATGGAAGACTAGTTCACATATATTCAAAATGCATAAGTTCTGGGCTAGGTAGCACACTTGGTTTTACAAAGAAATGCAAAATAAAATATAAAATCATATAACTTATGACAATGTTATATCTTAGTATTTTCTCTAAAAATAATCTGAGGTTAAAATGTCTTAGAGGGCCTCCCTGGTGGCGTAGCGGGTTGAGCTCAGCGCTGTGAAGCTATCTGCAGCCTCTGCAGCATCAGTTCGATTCCCGGCCGACCAGGGCGATACCCACATGATGCCACAAACCTCTCCTGACTCACCCACTGCTCCCCTCAGCAGTGTTTTCAGTCAGTCTGCCTGTTCTGCTCCCTGTTCTGTCTCTGGTGGATTCTCTCATCCTCCCGCACCTCTGGCCTGTACCCCAGGTCTTGTATAAATAAATAAATCTTTAAAGAATAAATAAATAAATAAATAAAATGTCTTGGAGATATGGTGGTTAGAGGGCTTGTCTATTGCTTGTATGTGCATATTATAGCATAAAACGCGTAGCTTGCAAGATTTTCTAACTGCAGAGATAATCATATCTCACTATAGAATCTCTTGGCAGTTTTGTGATATAAAGTAAGAAGATAAGAAATTAGTGTCTAATTGATCTCAGGAAAGAAAAATAATCTATGTAATTCCATTCTAGTTTCATGGTAAGAGTCCCACTATTAGAATGCTAGTAAAGTTTAGTGAGATGTTAACATTATATGATTCTATAAGTAGATGTAAATCAATGTCAAACACTACCATTACAATATCTGAAGATTTCTAGCAATTTCTTTTTTTGGTCTCAAAAACCTGTGCAATTCTTTGACAACTTTATTGACTCTCACATCTCTCAGAATATTGAGGCCTATTACTGTTGCGGAAACAGATAGTTTTAGCTAATCTTACATTTTTTAAGCTCAAAATAAAATTGATCCTGAGGAACTGTCAATAGAACATTCAAGAAGGTAATGCTTCCAGCTTTATTTTCCTTCCAAGCTACTCAATAATCCATTTCTATTTTAAGTCACATAGAAGCTTCTAACAACCTCAACATTTATGTCTTTTATCTCACTTGTAAAGAAAGTGAAACAGCTAGACTAAATAAAAATGGAGCTGGGCCAACACTCAAATTTCAGAAAAAAAAGTGCCCTTGCTGCCAGAAATTTTGTTCATGTCAGAAAAATCCTGAAAATCTTTCATATACTTTTTAGAGAAAATGCAGAGCAATTTTGATGGTAAGAAACCACATCATCTTGAAAAAAAAAATCACTAATTGTTTTCTCCATATTTTATTAAACTTGACCAGATGACTGATGTGCTCAGAGCCTAAATAAGTTTGTTGTTCTAAAACCCCAAGTTTCATGCTCATGCTATTTGGCATTGTTACTTCTTCCTGAGGTTTTATTTCTCCTGAGATGTTTATCACTTAAAATGTTCTTGAACTTGAAGAGCAGCACACATCACTCAGATCGTCAATGTCACTGCCCACATATTAAACTAAACCAAATATGGGATCATGGCATCCCTCACCTCATTCTATTTGGCTCAATGACACACTTATATGTCATTTATTTCAAATTAGCTATTTTCTTTCCTCCATTAGTTCTGCTATGGCAGATGGTATCATGTAAGTGTGACTATTTGCTATTGGCACACTACACATACCCTTCTGATGACCAGATGTGTCTTTTGGGCTTTAGTTCTCATAGGTCTGCTCATTATTATTTCTTTTTGTTTGTTTACTTTATATATTGACTAGGTTAAGAGGTCAAAATTGCAGAAATTAGCAAGGGAATTGTCCTGGGTAATATATATTGTCCAGAATTATAGATAAAATTACCCACATTATAGATAAAATGAATTGAAAAACACATAAATTGAAAAAAAGCACACCTTATAATATTCAGATAGTTGTGATTTTGTTGATCTAGGTACATATACCTGGAAAAGTTTTATCAACATTCTCCCCTGCCCACTGGAAGTTGCTCCTGACTGTCCTGCAGAATTATCGTACAAGGACAGGAAAGGTATAAAAAGTGAGAACAACAAAGAAAAAGATCCACATTTAACAAAATATTGTAATAGGGTGGTCCCCAGGAAAAGGGGAGGTTCTAGATTCCCTGCCCCACAACCCAAAGGGAGGGTGGAGCTGAGCAGGGAGGAGAAGAAGCTGGAGAGGAGACTGGGGAAGGAAGTAGGATGGAGAGTCAGAAGGAGACATGGAGGAGGCATATGGAGCAGAGAGACAGGTGAAGAAGCTGTGCTTGCTTCTTGGTCCTGGACTGGTTGGTACAGATGTGGGTGAGAGACAATGGGGAGGTTAATAATGGCAGCTTTTACTGTGATTTAGATTTGGTTCTTTTCCTCCCAGATTTGCTGTTTCTGACCCTTTTCTATGGGTCCTTATTGGAAGGTTCTTTAGACTTGTGGCAGGTTTTCGGGTCTTGCTCTGGACCAATTCTGTTTAGCTGGACTTTTGCCCACGAAGGGATGGGTAACTTTGGGTCCTTGATTTGGAAACCACAGTCTTTGTCTTTTCTGCATTGCACACTGACTGTATTTTTTATTTTTTAAAGATGTATTTATTTATTTATCCATACAAGCACTGGGTACAGTCAGAAGCGCGGGAGGGTGAGAGAATTCACCAGAGACAGAGCGGAGAACAGAACAGGCAGACTAATGAAATACACTGCTGAGGGAAGCAGCGGGCGCAGCCGGAGAGGTCTCGTGCCATGTGGGACCCTCAACAGTGGTGGGGATCAAACCGGCGCTGCAGAGGCTGCGGGCAGCTTCGCAGCCCAGAGCTCAACTGCTACGCCCCTGGGGGAGACCCGCACAGTGATTGTATTAAAGTTCCATATGTTTTGTTTTGATGTGGCAGATGGCAGAGCCTATTTAGAGCAGGTAGGTTAGGGGGTTCTAGGGTGCCCTTCTCCCTGTCCTGTAACAAGAATTTTAAAATTTTAAGTAGAAATTACTAAGTAGAGGCAAAATAATGACAAAACTTACTTAGTTGCAGTCTCATATCTTTCCATGAATAAATTTTAAAAAAGTAAAAAGATAAATTAAAAAAATAATTACCTTGTATTATCATACTAATTTAAATTTTGTTGTGGGTGAAAAATTGTTGTGGATCATGGTGATTAAGAGGAATATATTAAAAGGCAATAGGTGGCCCTGGAAAGGAAACTGGCATTATGACACATTCAAGTTTTTTGTTATTGCTATTGTTGTTTTTCTTTTTAATTTTCCTTTAATTTTAACCAATTTTAGAATTGGTTTTAAAAACTGTAGTAGTGAGGTTACAAGATGGGAAGGGAGTGAAAACTAAAAGGTGCTGAGAGTGCCTTGATGGTGAAAGTCGTGTGGTGTCATGCAGTTGAAGAGGCGTGATCCTATGCCTTTGAGTCACATTAGTGTTGTAAATCAATGCTATCTCAATAAACAAACAAACAAACAAACAAATTGTTGCTGGTAGTTGCAAAAGAAAGTGAAGTCAAAGAAGGATTTTGTAGATGAGAGATCATCATCATACAGATGATCCAAAGGAAATAAAAGTGAATGATCTGGAGGAGAGCAGGAGAAATTGCTGAAGAGATGTCACTGAGTTAGCAAAAGGGATTTGATGGGAACCAGAGGGACTTAGTTTTAGGGGACTGGGATGATCATTCAGTTCCACAGAAACAGGAGAGAAGGTGGAGGTATGAATTCTCTAGGAAAAGGCTGATAGTTGCAGAAGTGAAAACACAGGGAATTTCTCCTCTGGCTTATTTTTTTCAGCAGAAGAAGAAAGTATAGTCATCACTTGGAAGCATGGATGTGAAGAATATATTGGATGCTGGCAGAGAAAGGAGCAGTTATTTGGATGCATGTTCGAGTGAATGGACCAGACTATTACAGGACACTGGGTAGCAGGAAGGACTGGCTTGAAGTTAATTATTCTAAAATTAGAATGACCTCTAGGCTGATTGGATTTCAACAAACACCCTCAGAAGAAATTGCTGTGGATTACAATTTACATTAGAAATATGATGCAAAACTCAAATGGGCTGATCCATGATAAAAACAAAAACAAAAACAAAACAAAACAGATGACCTTTGCCTTACTACAATGGAATGGTTAGTAAATGTCATGAGTAGCCTTTAATTATAACATTTAAATATAAGTGGATTACTTTTAAGATTTCTAGTTTTAACTAATGTTTTCAATGAATAATAATATACCATTAAATAAACAAGCATCAGGAAGTCCATGGTACATATATTTGTGATGTAGGAATTAACAAGTAGTCAAACAAGAAACATGTAAGGAAAACTCATCACTTTAACTGTTCAGTATGTGGTGCAACCATCACCACTACCCATCTCCAGAACTTTCACAACTTCCTTAGCTGAAAATCTGCATCCATTAGACAATAACTCACTTTTCTCCCCTGCTCCCAGCCCTTAAAAGCCAACATCTGTGAATTTGATGCTAGATGAGATACTGTATAATGTTTATCTTTTTTGTGATAAATTTATTTTACTTACCATAATGTTTTCAATGTTGATCCATGTTTAACTGTGCCCAAATATCCTTTCTTTTTACAGGTAAATATTTCAGTATACTGAAACGCTAGAAAATGACAGAGAAATAGAGTAAATAGCAGAGGCTGACTAATACAATGTTAGCTCAGTTTTCTATTTTCCTATTATTTCCAAGTTTTAACCATAAACATATCGAAATAAATCATTAAAACAATATTCATCATTCAATGTAAATTTTTAAGAATTGCTTTAACTAGTGTGTGTATGTACTTGGTAAGCATACAAGATTCTATTGTAATTTTGATTAGAAAATATACAAAAGAGAAGATGGAAAAGAAAACAATAGTCTGGTTTAAGAATTTTTCAGGTTTAAGAATTATTAATAAAATCTTTTTCAATGCCATCTTTTTTTAAAAGCTTTAAATTAGCTATATCAATTTTCTTATTTTTCCCTTAATTTGCCAATTTCATTTAGAAAAAAACATGAGTGCTTGACCTATGGTAGGAAATAAAGCAAAAATGAAACATTAATTTATTTTTTCCTATATCTTACATCTTTACCTAGAAAAATCTTTCTCCTAAAGTTTATGGTGCTTAAGTATCTAAGGTGTGAATAATTATATCTAACTGTTTGCCAGAGCAAGAGTTCTGTAACCTAGAAGTAGGAAAGTCACCATGGAAAGGGTACACATAAAGATTTATTTATTTTTTTTATCTTATTTAAATATTTTATTTTATAAAATTCTTACATCTTTTTTTCATCTTTGCACAATGTATGCATTTTCATTTTGGTTATATTCCCCATACAATTGCACCTCCCCCCTTATTTTGACTCTCTTCCCCCCCCCCCACGCTGCTTCCTGCCCCCCTCCCCCGCCCAGTGTGTCTCTGGTTTATAGTTGCTTGTTGATTTTGATTTTTACTTTGCATTGATTAGTCTTTTTCCTGGTCTCTTATTTAGGTTTTCTAAATTCTTGCTGTGAGTGAGACCATCTGGTATTTTTCTTTTTCTTTCTGACTTGAAAAAGGAACGCTCCTGCACTGCTGGTGGGAGTGCAAACTGGTCCAACCACTATGGAGAGCTGTGTGGAGATTTCTTGAACTATTAAACATAGAGCTTCCGTATGATCCAGCAATTCCACTCCTAGGTATTTTTTTTATTTTTTATATATATTTTACATCATTGTTCATTTTTAAACAACGTTTGCTCCCCGCCCCCTCAGTTATGGTCCCCATAGAATTTCTTTCACCAATGCACCTGTGCACCATCACCACTGTCCTCTGTGCTCCTCCCTTCCTCCCTCTGATCCCTTGCCCTCCTCCTCCCCTGCAGGATGTCTCCAGCTTATAATTGTCTGTTTTGTTTTGTTTTGTTGTGTTGTGTATTATTATTTTTATCCCTGCTATCTTATTTGGTTCCTCTATATTCCTCCTTTAAGTCAAGCCATCCGATATTTTTCTTTTTCTTTATGACTTATTTCACTGAGCATAGTTCCTCTAGCTCCATCCATGTTGCTGTGAATGATATGAGTTTATATTTTTTGATTGCTGAATAATAGTCCATTGTGCATATATACCACATCTTCTTGATCCAGTCATCTATTTTGGGGCATTTGGGTTGTTCCCAGGTTTTACCCAAAGAACACAAAAACATTGATTCAAAAGAATACCTGTATCCCTATGTTATTGCAGCACTATTTATAATAGGTAAAACCTGGGAACAACACATGAAGAATTGAAGGGCAGAAATAGCAAGAAACTGAAGAATACACCTAAAGTCTGAGTATATAAGCACCAATAAAATCAAATAGTTAATCAAAGGGAGATGTGTGAGTGCCAAGACAGATCTCATCTCCAGCACAACTTCACCTGATATACTACTAAATATAAACTGGTTACCCAAAGATTATGACTATAACACATGAGACATGATTATGGGAGCTTAGGATATTTAGAATATCTCTTAGTAAGAGAAGATGAAAATAAATGAAAATTTGTATAGATTTGGCATAGATAAAAACTGTAACAACTACTTTAATTAAACAGGTACAACATAACTTCTAGTTTTACAATTCCTTAAGGGATTTTCCCCTGGCTCCTTAGGTTGGTGAAGCAGAGTTCTTGTTTCAAAGTCTTGATTTCAGAAAACATAATTTACCAGTCCCTAAATTAAATGGTTAGCTATGTGTCCAAAGAAGATATTCAAATGGACAAATTGGTTGGGAGCATTTTTATGTAAAGTGAAAGAGAGAGGACTATGGAGGCGGGCTATGGTGATGGGTATAGTGTAAAATGCATTTGAGGGGGTGTATTGTTATGCCTCTGAATCATACACAGCATTGTAAATCATTGTCACCTCAATAAAAATATATATATATAAAGAGATTTAGTACCAGCACAAGAAGAGAGTTTAACAACTTTCTGATCTACATCAAAATTACTATAAAGAAGGTATGCTTTTGAGTTAATACAATATCTCAGGAAAAAAGGCAGAAGAGGGCATGTATTTTCATCCCCAAGGAACTCTCAAATATCCAATTATACTATCTTTTACTAGGATGATAAAGATATAAAACAAAGAAACAATGTCTGGTCTATATAATTTACAATCAAATGTTAACAAATGCTCAATAGCCAGAAAAAATTTTCAGATAAAACATGAGCACAATATACTACCATATGGCAAATGTACTTTACTGCACAGATGGCTCTTAGAATCTTACTGAAGATGATTTGGAGATTTACTCCACAGATATAAATCAGGGTCTTTAAATGAGGCAATACAAGAGAAGAGATTAAACAATCAAACAAACAAAATGGGTGCAGAAAAACACACGATCATCAAGGAAATGAGAGTAGATGTGAATCAGAAGACTAATATAACAATATGAAAAGATCATTTTATTCTAAGATAATGACAACCCATATCTATGTGACTGAAAGTTGAGAAAATTTGGACATTATAGTGGGTGAGAGCAAATGGAGATTAATGAGATGAATCAACTCAGATATTTAAATTAATAAATTGCTACAATATAGTATGATCACGAAGAATGTCTTAAGAGTGATACAGATCTATTTTAATAGCATTGGGTATATTGCTTTAAAGATATGGTAGTTTTATTGGCTTAAACATAGTTGTCTTTTAGAAATTAATTAATTGAACTGAGAAATTATGATTTATGTAATATGATGAAGCAGTACAAAAAGTCTTTAATAAAGATAAAGGTATTTTAGTGATTAATAGGGCAGTTAGACACACAGGCATCTTAGTTCAGTTTCTCTGATAAAATAACCATACATATATACGGTTTTTATTCTATTGAAGATGACACCGTGCATTTTGTTTGCATTTGTGTTATCAATAGAAAGTAATATTCATTATGTATTCAAGCATTCTCTTCTAACAATTGCCTAAGATACGTCTATAAAATATATATTTTTGTTGATAGTTTTTGCATGTAGGAAAATTGAAATCAATTTACTATATAATCAATACATACAAAACCAGATGTTTAAGAACCCTAAGTTTGCAGAAAATGGTGAAATATATTTTGTTGACTTAAAATCAGTAAATCAATTTATTAATACTCATGAAAAAAATACTATAGGAGTGCATTAAAGAAAAGGCAATAGTCACTTTCTTGACACACCCTATATACACACCTAAAAACTTCCACTTCCCATAGGTAACAAAGTGTTAACCATATCATATGTATAGTTTGAGAAATTTTGAATTTACAGGAAAATTTATTGTGTAAGTGTATATACATACATACACAACCACTTACCATATCAACAACATAAAAATTCTATCTGTGTTACCATTTTCAAAGGCTGTATTTAATATACTCCATAGTATGTTCACACCATAATTAATTCAACAATTTTCATAGACAGGAATTTAGATAGACTCAATTTTGCATTGTTATAACTAACACTGCAATGAACATCTTGGTACAAATATTTTGGGAAAATTGTGTAATTTTTTCTGTAATATAATTAAAATAGAAGTTCTTTATCAAATGTTATGTGCTTGTAAACACCTTGCATACATTGTCAAACTGCCTTCAAAATGACTTCACCAATTTACATTCGTATTTTCACTTGCCCTTATAGTTTTCTCTGCTTCCACTCTCTAATTTGCTAGAGATACATGCTACTTGAAATGTTAATCTGTCACATCTATGCTGAAAATCTAATAACACCTTCCTACCATATTAGTTTTTGGGGTCTGCCAACAGAATACCACAGACCAGGTAATCTTAAACAATTAAATTTATTTTCTCATCGCACCTCTACACTGTTTAGCTCTCCCCTCTCCTGGGTCACTGGCCTGGCTGGCTGCCCTGCAGTCTGTGCTCTAGCTATGGATCACACCTCCGGGTGCTTCTCTCCATCCACCTCTTGTTCCCTGAAGCACAGCTTTCTTTCTCTTGTGTTGAAATTTATGTTGCTCATTGATATCCAAGGGGTGTTCCAGTTTTTCCTCAAGCCACAGGAGTCTCTGGGTGTTGTATTCTTCTAGTTAACTGTTAGATGATCCTATAGCAAGTGAGACAAGGAACTTCTCTGATGCCTACTAATTTCTTCTAATTCCTCTTTACTTGCAAGCCACAAGAGGGGGCAAACTTCAAAGCTCCTCATATGCACCCTCCTTGCCTTCAGCTCTCTTCAGAAACTTGGTAAAATATTTTTCAAGGTAGATTTTATTTGATGTCACAAATTGGTTTTTATGTCTTAACATAAAAAGTCTTAACATCTCTAAAAGAGACAAGTCTTAACATCTCTAAAAGAGACAAGCTCATTTTTAAACAAATTTTACTTTGCTTTAGGAACTTTTTTAAGAATTCAATTTTTGCTAAAGTAAATTATTTTCTAAACATTTCTGTAAGGATCTGTGGGATATTCTAAAGAATCTTATCAGGATGTATCACAGGGACAGAAGTGTTTTCATATTTTATTCACCTTGTTTGAATTTTAAATTCAAGAATTACTACATAATGCAAACCCCTCATTAAAAGTAAAAGACTTTTGAATGGAAAAGAAAACTGATATGAATTTCTATTTCGTTATATACCAAAACAT